AAGGGGGGGGGGGCGCGCGCACAAACAAGACTTTCGAACATATAAAACAAGCAAAAGAGAAGAGGAGAGGGAAACGAAAACACAGTTTAGCAGTACGGGGGTGAACAGCGTGAGGAAGACGGACACAAAGGGAGGCATTCGTTTTACCTTTCTTGGTAGATGACATGATGATGCTAGTCAAATAGATATACATACCATTTTTTTAAGATTTCGTGTACCTTCGTAGTATATGGATTTTTAACAATGTTTACATCTGAGAGCGAACATGGTGAGGGGGAGGCGACACATACACACACACACGGATAAGAAAAAAAAGGGTTTTAAAAGGGGGAGGGGGATGGGGACACGAAAACAAGTGAAAACAGAGTCAGACAGTGCAAGGAAGGAAGGAGGACAGAAGGGGGAAACCCTCGTTTGCCTTTCTTGACAGTTGTGGGCGAAAAACAATCAACCCAAATAGGACAGCGTGCGATTTACACCCAGTGTCACAACTGCTGCCAGAAAAAGTTAGTTTTAAGTGGAGCTTTACATTATTGGGATTTAAAATTTCAGTTACATATTTTAAAATTGCTTGACATGGTGAATAAAACATCAATAGCATTTTATGTACAGGACATCCATGATGCAAAAAAAAAAAAAACCATACATTTCTTCCCATCCTAATGTGTTTTCCCCTTCTCCTCTCACTCTTTTTCCTTGCCTCTTTAAATTGAAGCAAGTAAATGTCCCAAACTGTTTTGCTTACGAGTTTCCTGACACAGTGAGCATTCCTGTCTCATTAGCCCAATGCCGAGTAGTGGAATTTACGTTTTCACATGCTGTTCTTTTCCTCCGTACAAGGTGTTCCACCTGTCTGGTCTCGGGGCGAGTAGTATTCGTCTAGCCTCGCTGAGTTTTGGGCACTCAGATGATTGTCAACATTTTCGTAGGGGTAATTAAATAGCTGGCACTCTGGAGAGTGATGAGGCTATATTCTGTTTAGATGTCTATTTAGTGAAGTATGTTGTGTTCTGAGTCTGAATGTAATGGCCTGGTTCCTTCTTGTTAGATGGTAATGTTGTCGTTGGTATCAGAGCTAGCTATGTCTTTAAACCTCTCTTCTAGTATCTCCAATTGTTCAGCCAGTCTCTTTTTTATAGCTTTTACAAGTGTTTTTGCCGTCTGTAGGGTTGTCGATACAGGTGGTTGTTCTTGTATTACTTCTTTCTATGCCAGTCTGTCAGCTCTGTCATTACCTGGTGTGCCGGAGTAGCCTGAAATCCACTGCATCACTATTATGATATTGTATGTGGTAATTAGCTTATCAGTATCTAGGATTATCTTAGCTATGTCAGTTCCGCAGTGCTCACTGTCCTCCCAACCTTGAAGAGCAGACATTGAATCAACGAAGCTAACAATATTTTCGGCCTTTAAAGGATAAACATCTATTACAGTCTTTATGTGGTATACTGTTGTTTCCAGTGCAATTATTCCGGCTTCATAATTTGAGCAGAATTATCCGCATGCATCAAAAACCTCTTCAACAGGCTAACCTATGTAGAATGGTAGCTTTTAATGCAGATGCATCGGTAAAAATATGTATTAATACTTCGGGGTAAGAATCAATGGTCTTTAGCAATAAGTTCATAAGAGTAATTGGGTCGGCCTGTTTAGTTTTTTTGTGTCTACCATTCTCAACAGTCCTTCTGGAGTTTCAAAGCGAGCATTTAATGGTAGGTTTCTTGCAACATTCTGAATGCCCTGACGTCTTTCTGTGAGGTGGTATCTATCCTGTAAATCAAGGAACACAGTGTAAAACCAATTTGTGGTTTATTCATTGTTTGTATTCCCAGTTTTCTATAAAATGTCTATTAGACCGCATAGCTACGTTGATTATTTTGATTGCATTATTTTGTTCTCTGTCACGAGACCGTATGTTTGTCTTGGAGCAGGTTGCAAGCAGCGAGTTTTTATACTCTACCACAAAGCGAACACATCAAAGATACAAGCTCCTCAGGATGTCCTTGTCTGATCCCGAAGCTGTACCTGAGCTTCAACAACTGTAACCGCCTCAATGCCTTATTCCTCATGATTTCAGTATGGTTCTTGAGGCTCAGCTGCCGGTCGAGTGTGACTCCAAGCTATGTAGGATGCTCTTCTTTTATCACCTGGTGTCTAACCTCAAGTTAACATTCTTTCCTGCTGCTTGATGGCTTTTGTGAAAGACTGTGTAGACCGTCTTTGTATAGTTAACACTGAGTTTCCGTCTTTGGCAGTACTTGCGCAGTCTTCTAAGGTCTCCATTTAGTCTCAGGGATCTACTTTCTAAATTTTCACGACTCTGCCATACTGCCAGATCAGCAGCATACAAGGCCATTTCGGCCTTGATTTGTTCTGGCAGGTCATTGATAAAGATTAGAAACAGTGTACAGCTCAATGATGAGGCTTGTGTCAAGCCCTCCTCCAAGATTTCTTTAGATGAGATTGCGTTGTGTATCTTAGTCTGGATTGTTCTACTATCAGAAAGTATTTCACCCAGTTATACAACCTGCCATGTATTGATAAGCTCATCATCTTCAACAGGAGGCCTTTTCTCCATACTCTGTCTGGAAATCTGCTGGATATCGACAAAGATGGCCATTGTGTGTTTCTTATTATGAAAGCCGTCATGTATTCTTTATGTTAATCTGAACAACTGGGCTTCTGTACAGCTGTTGGTTCTGAAGCCGTCCTGTTCATGGCATAGAATACAAGAACTCTCGCGGAACCAATAAAAGCGCCTATTTGTCATTCTTTCGGCAACTTTGCCAAAGCATGATGTTAAGGATATCGGATGTTAGCTTTTGGGGCCGTATAGAGGTTTATTGGTTTTTAGTATGGGGACTATATATATGCTATAGGAAGTTTGCCTGATTTCCATGTCTTAATAATTAGCATGAATACTACTTCTCTGCAAGACACGTCTGTTATAAAACATTTTTTTTAACGATTTAAAAAAAAAAAAAATAAATACGTCCCCGGATAACGCCTCAAGCCCTTAAAATGATAGAAGACCCGGAAGAGCATGAAAGGCAAACCTAAAACATAGAGCTACTGAAGCTAGAGCTTATGAAGAATACACAGAAACTACATGAGGACAAGCCAACATTTGAAATAAGAACAGGTGTGCAACAGGTATGTTTTTATTGCTTATTCTTTGCCTACTGGCAAAGACATATGTCGCTGACACCAGGAGGGGAATTGAGTAGATAGCAGCTACATAGCTTAAATGTCTTGAATTCGCGGATGTTACTTCGCTTCTATCCCACGTATGGAATCAATGAGGGATACAGTAAATATATTTGATGCGAGACACAACATCTAGGTCTAAACATTAAAAACGTAAAGACATGTATGATGAGAATTGATGATATTGTTATATTGCGCTATGCGGAGGTACGGGTCTTACAGCCCATGGCGATGACTGAGACCAGCCCCTGTCAAGAAAAGTCTTCCACAATGATACCTTCCTATTTCAGAACCATTGTTGTCAACATTAGTGTTTAGTCCATTTCTTCTCAGACGAGAACAAACGAGAATAATGAGAATAAGCTTGACAAATAGGTGTCCGGTTTCTCTTAATCGCATTCTACTCCAAAAAGTGAAAACATATACCTATTTTGGCAGTAATGTAAATCAAGATTTTGCGATGATGGGGTTTGGGGGGGGGGGGGGCGCCAGAGATAAAATATAATAAAATAGAATGCAAACGGCAAGTGATGCTTTCTTAGCACCTGGAATTTTGTGGAGGTTAAAATAAATTAGAACTAATTCTAAACACACACACACATATATATATATATATATATATATATATATATATATATATATATATATATATATATATTCTAGGTTAAATCAGTACTGTGGTCTCCTAAAACTTCATGCCGTTTGGAGTTTGTAGTCATTTCTATCCCCAAATTTCTCTTCCGTATACTTTATGTTCACTGTGACACAAATGATCTTCTTTTCATGTTAACAAACAGTCCAACATCTTCTCTAGTAGGCTCCCTCTGCTTCTCTTTTCCTCCAACTTTCCCAGTGTCATGATTAAAAAAAACTACGTCTCTATACCTTCCAAATAATAATTCAATAATCCTACACTGTCAATGATTCACTTCCGTATATCAGGATAGGGGTTATTTAGCTTTATAAAATTCCCTTTCTCGTCTTAACTGACAAATAAAGATTTCCTATTATATTCTTCATTTTGTCGTAAAAAATATGTTATACAATCAATATTTCCGGCATACAATGTATAAATATAAATATTGTTTCTGTAGATACAAATTGAATAAATCGGTTTCAGGTACACATCCCTGTCTAACGGCCTGTTTAGTGTTTTGAAAAGTTCCAACTTGGCTGTCAAATAGTGTGGCTGCTTCTTATTGTCAGTATACGTTTTTTTTTTTTTTTTAAATTATTCTCAGATCTTTTCCACCAATGGTAAAGATTTAAGAAGTCATAATTTCTTCGCTTTCCACTTTTTCAAATGTTGTAACGTAATCAATAAAGCATAAATACAGATGACCGTTCATTTCAATCGTTCTATCTGAACGTTTTCTTCAGTACTGCTGTATGAAGCTGAAACATTAATTATAATTAACACAGTTACTAATAAACTAGAGTAATTCATTAAAAGGTGCCTACACAGAATAGAGGGAATTAAACGGTATGATAACATCAATAATTTTATGGTTTTGGTAGAGAACTAAACAAGTTTTAGTGCACCAAGAGGTGGGGAAAGAGGCAGACGCTGGTAAGGACACACGCTAAAAAAAGATGTAAAGAGAATATTTTGTTAATGGTACCCACGGGGGGATAACGTGTAATACATTAAAACAATTGAGAAAGGGAGCTACAGAGTGAAGTTAAAACTATAGAGACAACATGCAACAGCAAAAGAGATAGCGACTTGGTGTGAGCTGATTTTGGACCTATGCTTTACAAGGGTATAAAAGGCAGAAGAATAAGAAGTTTAC